CTCAGGTTGTCAGCCCTGACTCATGCAAAGACTGGCGTAACAGTGGCAAAAGAGGCTGAAAAAACCTGCAGCACCCACAGTCTGAGGCTGAGCTGAGTCCAAGCCCAGGCCAAGGCCTAGGTTAACAGAGGTTTCCAGGGAGGCGGCAGCAGAGGCCGGAGAGACACTGAAGTTCCAGCTGGGTCTTTGAGCCTTGGCTTCGTGGAGCTGCTGGGGGAGGCCAAAAGCTAAGTCTGCACCAAGGGCAGCAACACCAGGAGCTGGGAGGCAATGGCACACGTGTAGACCTGTGGGCTTGTTGTCTGTTGTATGTCCATCTACATGTCCTCACATGTGTGTCCATGTGCATACATATACCCATAGTCTAAATCTCAGGGCATTGCCAAGGACTGGCATGGTGGACATAGCGGGTACGGTACTCTGAACATCTCGGGAAAGAGTGGGAACCTGGCCAGCCTTCAAGGCTGAGGAGAGGAGAAAGGAAGGGGAGGGCAGTTGGGATGGGGAGGTGAGAGGGGAAGGGACAGAGAGGCAGTGGCAGGATCCCAGGCTCAGCCAGCTCTCAGCAAGCCCAGGGCCACTGCAGGGCCAGCAGAGGTCAGCACTGCACTGAGCCTGGGCAAGGCTCTCTCCAGGTGCCAAGGCAGGTGGGTAGGGTTGAGAACTTCCAGCTATTTCAGTGTGTGCCCCGATAAGGGACACAGGAATCACAAGGAGCATACCAGGGACACAGGTGACTCTCGGTAGCATCTACAGTGGTCCCCTCCTCCTGCAGCTCCTCAGCTGGATCATCCCAGGGTTGGTTCCCCACACCAACCCTGCCTGTGCAATCCTTCGTTAGAACCCCTTGAATTGAATTACCCTGCTGAGGAGCCACCTGCTCCCTGCAGGACTGGGGCTGACATGGACTAGAAGGAGACTCAGGGAAGCTGGGAGAAGGGGCAGAGGGAAGGGCAAAGGCCCTCTGACAGCCAGCCCCACAGCACCTTCTGACTTTCCCGGCTGTGCAGTCCCACTGCGGATGGGTAGTCCCAGTGACCCAGTAGAGGCTGCAGAAATGGTGCCATGTGACCTCCTGGCTGGGGAAGCAGCTGCAGGGCTCTCTGCCCAGGAGACCCTGGCCCACACAGGGTTCCCCACTCTGGCCCTAAAAGCCTGATGGCCCTGCCACACTGCGGCCCTCCAGTCCTGGCCCCCGACCTAGACTGTGTCCCCAGCCCCTAGGAGCCAATCTACAGGTATCATTATGGGCTGAACTGTGTCCAAAGAGATGTTGGAGCCCTGATCCCAGCACCGTGGAATGCAATGGAAACTGTCTTGCAATGTAATCAGAAAGAGCTCACTGCTATGGGCCCTGAATCGAGGGGCTGGGTGACAAGTCTCCTTCTAAGGAGACACAGAGGGACAGCAGTGAGGACTTGGGCCAAGTCTAGCATGACATGGCCATGGCCCAGGACTTCAAACACCCCAGGAGCTAGGAGAGGCAGGAAGAACAGCCAGATGACAACTTGGTTGTAGACTTCTGGCCCTTGAACGCTGATGGAACACATGACTGGGTGTCTGTTTTCATTTGAGGTTTTTAATTTTGAGAAAAGTTCTTGTTAAATTGCTAAGTTGCCCAGGCTGGGCTTCACCCTGCCATCCGCCTGCCTCAGCCTCCCAGAGTACTGGGATTACAGGCATGCACCACCATGCACAGCTTGTTGGGGGCTCTCTGACAGGGCTGCTTCCCCTCCAGCTGAGGGAGATATGGCCACCACTGGGGGTGCAAAGAGATCCTGGCTTTGCCTGAAGTCTGCTCTCTGCCACACCAGACAGGATGGCAGCTGGCTCTAGAACGCAGAGCGCAGCAAAGCAACCTCATGCAGTCACCAAGGAGACCAGGTGCCTCCCACAGAGGGAGGGCCAAGAGAGGCAGAGGGTGGACCCAGCAGCAGCATCTGGGACCTCAGCCTTTAGGAGACACAGAGCCACTGCAGCTTAAACCTGTTTTCCTTTTCTTGTTTTCTGAGAGAGGGTCTCCCTATGTTGTCCAGGCTGGGCTCCAACTCACAACCCTCCCACCTCAGCCACCCAAGAAGATGAGACGACAGTGCAATACTGCACCCAGTTTGGCCTGTTTTTTGGGAGGCTCACAGAGCAGAGACAGTGGGCAGCCAAAGGAATACACATGGGGCCTCTGCCCACAGGTTCCTGCCCTGAACACCTAGGAGGGAAGGTGTGGACAGTGCTGCCCTGTGAAGGAAGGGCAAATGGAGCAGCAATGGTGTCCATGTGAATGACAACAGAGAGGCTCTAGCGGCCAACGTGGCACCACTGGCATCTTTATTCATGTGCCACAATCTCAGCTTTGCTTGAAAGAGAATGTTCTCAGCCAGGCATGGTGGTGCACACCTGTAAATCCCAGCACTTGGGAGGCTGAGACAGGCGGATCACTGTGAGTTCAAGACCAGCCTGGGCTACACAGTGACTTCAAGGAAGGCCTTATCCACATAGTAAGACTCTGTTCAAAAAATCAAAAGGATAAAAGGAAGAAAAAGAAGTTCTTTGTCCTCAAAGCTCGAAAGCTAATGAATAGATGGTGCAAATCATGGGGAGTCCAAAATGCACATTACAGTGCTGAGTGACCATGCTGTTCACACTTGCCTGGCAGAAAAGAAGCTGGGCTGCACCAAGCACCATCAAGGCTGGGTGTATGGAGTCCCAGGTAGGGCAGGGTGCAGCCTCTGGGGAGGGCAGCTGGGCTGCAAACCCTCGGCTCAGGGTCCATACAGGATCCTTGCCCAGATCTATGCCTGTATGCATCAGAGGACACTCAACCTGCACTGCTGCACACCTGGGGACTGGGGGCAGTGCGGGCAAGCTGACCACTGGCAGCTGTGCAGGTCGTTTACTGCACAAGGGAGTCCTGCCCAGAGGAAGGTGGCCTCAAACCCAGGGACACCCAATCCTCCAGGAGCACAAAGAACCTCCCAGGAGAAGGACCCACCCCGCCTACCTGGATCTCCGGCTTCTTCCCCAGAGCAGTAAGAGGCAACACGTCCCTGACGAATCTGCAGGCACAGGAGACACTGGAAGGCAGGGTCCCATAACAGCTCCACTGTGCGTGTGGATCAGAGCCTGCCTGGAAGGAGATGAGCCCTGGGAGGTCACGCTCCGCCCACCTGGGGGCCGAACCCCACCTGACCTCTGACCCCTGAGCTTCGAACCCCATCTGACCTCTGACCCCTGAGCTTCGAACCCCATCTGACCTCTGACCCCCGAGCGAACACAGCAGCAATCCAGGGCCTTGTTCGGGCCATCCCCCCTCGGGAAGCGCCCCGCACTGCACCAACACCCTCCTCTCATAACCCCAGAGCCCCGCCCACCTCCCCAGGGCCAGAAGGAAGCCAGAAAGGAAGCACCCAGTGTGGGTGGCCCTGTAGACTGGAGGTGAGGATCCGGAGGGGCAGCTTTCTTCCTCATCGGGTGAAGCGGTGTCTCCCAAAAAACCCAGAATGGGAAGAAGGGAAGGGACTGGGTGCCTACTCTGGGGAGGCTGGAGCGACGGGAAGTGCCGGATATCCCCGAGCTGAGCAGGACCCGCCTCTCTTCAGCTCCCAAGGGCACTCAGGCCTCCCAAGCCATCTCTGACTCCGGGTTCCATTCTCTGCACATCAGCCTTAGGTGTTTCATCTGGCAGCGTGCTCAGGGTCTGGAAGAGTGGCCTGTCTCATCAGTCTTGCGCAGCCAGCGAACTCGAGGGCAGGGTGCACCACACTCTTCCCCACGCACGGGCCCAGGCGCCATGCTCGGGGAATCTCCTTGGGGTCTGCCTCCACGAGGATGAGGAAGTCCACCCGTGGCTCTACTTCAGGCCCTGGCTGCAGGGTCCACGCTGGGGCGGGGTGGGGACTGGAATCCCCGGCGGCGGCGTTCAGGGCTCTGCCCAGCAGGCCCCGCGCACGTGCTCACCCCGAGTCCGAAGGACTGGGCGTGTACAGGGTTCAAGGGAAGCCAGATGAGCGCGCCGTGCTGCGTGTATGGCTGGGCGGGGCCTCGGAAGGCGTGGCTACTCGGGGAGCGGCGCAGGTGAGCGGGTCCTGGAGGACTCACCGGGCCTCGTGGGACGGTCGGGCCTGTGAGGTGAGGCTGAGTGGAAGGGGACTCAGGGGGTACAAGGTGTAGCTCCCGGAGGGCAGCCTGTAGGGGGCGGGGCCTTGGG